ATTTAGGAAATTGCCGCTCAAGAAACCAAAAGTGGGAGGAAGCACCCAAAAAATGACAGAAAGCCAGCATTGGAGCAAGCCAACAGCTGTGTCCTGATTGGAAAAGCCCATTCCTTCCGTGTCTTGAACTCCATATAACAGCCTCAAAGTCAAAGCTCACATCCGAAAATTCATTACAAACCATGATAATGAAGAAAAATGGGGAAAAAAAAGCCAAAGAAATGCAAGAGTCCTTTGTGATATTGGGCTTGATTTAGTCACATGGAAACCGGCTGTTTCCGGATCATCCACCCCTCCCAGCTGTCTGGCTTTGGAAACTAGTAGAATTCACCTGAAAATCTCCGTCAAACTTGACTGGAGGGGAACTAATTATCGGTCCCCTCTGCAAAAGGGTTCCATTTCTTTTTCCCAAACGCAAAAACTCATCTTGGTCGTGCTGCCTGGAGATTTCAAAGCATGACACGCCAATTGGTTGTGTTTTTTATTTCATAATGGATCCTCTGTCTAAACTCTTGTTTGTATTGCGTCAGAATCCAAAATGTGGGAGGGAAGAAGGCAAAACCAACTCAGACCCAGAAACCATTTAGGAAATTGTCGCTCAAGAAACCAAAATTCGGCTGAGGCACCCAAAACAATGACAGAAAGCCAGAATAGGAGCAAGCCAACAGCTGTGCCCTGATTGGAAAAGCCCATTCCTTCCGTGTCTTGAACTCCATATTCCAGCCTCAAAGTCAAAGCTCACATCAGAAAAACAACACAAACCATGATAATTAAGAAAAATGTGAAAAAAACCAAAGAAAATCTCGAGTCCTTTGTGATATTTGGCTTGATTTAGTCACAAGGAAACTGGCTGTTTCCGGATTCATCCACCCCTCCCAGCTGACTGGCTTTTTAAACTAATTGAATTCACTGGAAATCTCCGTCAAACTTGATTGCGGAGGAATTAATTATTGGTTGCCTCTGCAAAAGGGTTCCATTTCTTCTTCTAAAACACAAAAACTTATCTTGGTCGTGCTGCCTGGAGATTTCCAAGCATGAAATGCGAATTGGTTGTGTTTTTCATTTCATAATGGATCCTCTGTCTAAACTCTTGTTTGTATTGCGTCAGAATCCAAAACTTGGGAGGGAAGAAGGCAAAACCAACTCAGACCCAGAAGCCATTTAGGAAATTGCCGCTCAAGAAACCAAAAGTTGGCTGAAGCTGCCAAAACAATGACAGAAAGCCAGAATGGGAGCAAGCCAACAGCTGTGCCCTGATTGGAAAAGCCCATTCCTTCCGTGTCTTGAACTCCATATTCCAGCCTCAAAGTCAAAGCTCACATCAGAAAATTCATTACAAACCATGATAAATAAGAAATTGGGAAAAAGCCAAAGAAATGCAAGAGTCCTTTGTGATATTGGGCTTGAATTAGTCACAAGGAAACCGGCTGTTTCCAGATTCATCTACCCCTCCCAGCTGGCTGGCTTTGGAAACTAGTAGAATTCACTTGAAAATCTCCATCAAACTTGATTGGAAGGGAATTAATTATCGGTCCCCTCTGCAAAAGGGTTCCATTACTTTTTCCAAAGCACAAAACCACATCTTGGTTGTGATACCTGGAGATTTCTAAGCATGACACGCCAATTGGTTGTGTTTTTCATTTAATAATGGATCCTCTGTCTAAACTCTTGTTTGCGTTGCATCAGAATCCAAATTTTGGGAGGGAAGAAGGCAAAACCAACCAAGACCCAGAAACCATTTAGTAAATTGCCGCTCAAGAAACCAAAAGTCAGCTGAAGCACCCAAAACAACGACAGAAAGCCAGAATGGGAGCAAGCCAACAGCTGTGCCCTGATTGAAAGAGCCCATTCCTTCCATGTCTTGAACTCCATATTCCAGCCTCAAAGTCAAAGCTCACATCAGAAAATTGATTACAAACCATGATAAATAAGAAAAATGTGAAAAAAACCCAAAGAAATGCAAGAGTCCTTTGTGATATTGGGCTTGATTTAGTCACAAGGAAACCGGCTGTTTCTGGATTCATTCACTGCTCCCAGCTGACTGGCTTTGGAAACTAATTGAATTCACCTGAAAATCTCCGTCAAACTTGATTGGAGGGGAATTAATTATTGGTCCCCTCTGCAAAAGAGTTACATTTCTTTTTCCAAAACACAAAAAATAATTTTAGTCATGCTGCCTGGTTAGTTCTAAGCATGACACGCCAATTGGTTGTGTTTTTTATTTCATAATGGATCCTCTGTCTAAACTCTTGTTTGTATTGCGTCAGAATGCAAAATGTGGGAGGGAAGAAGGCAAAACCAACTCAGACCGAGAAACCATTTAGGAAATTGCCACTCAAGAAACCCAAAGTCAGCTGAAGCTGCCAAAACAAGGACAGAAAGCCAGAATGGGAGCAAGCCAACAGCTGTGCCCTGATTGGAAAAGCCCATTCCTTCCGTGTCTTGAACTCCATATTCCAGCCTCAAAGTCAAAGCTCACATCAGAAAATTCATTACAAACCATGATAAATAAGAAAAATGGGAAAAAACCCAAAGAAATGAAAAAGTTCTTTGTGATATTGGCCCTGATTACTCACAAGGAAGCAGGCTGTTTCCGTATTCATCCACCCTCCCAGCTGATTGGCTTAGGAAACTAAATGAATTCACCTGAAAATCTATATCAATCTTAATTTGGAGGGGAATTAGTTATTGGTCCCCTCTGCAAAAGGATTCCATTTCTTTTCCTAAAACACAAAAACTCATCTTGGTCGTGCTTCCTGGAGATTTCTAAACATGACACACCAATTGGTTGTGTTTTTTATTTCATAATATATCCTCTGTCTAAACTCTTGTTTGTATTGCATCATAATACAAAATGTGGGAGGAAAGAGGGCAAAACCAACTCAGACCCAGAAACCATTTAGGAAATTGCCGCTCAAGAAACCAAAAGTCGGCTGAAGCACCCAAAACAATGACAGAAAGCCAGAATTGGAGCAAGCTAACAGCTGTGCCCTGATTGAAAAAGCCCATTGCTCCCATGTCCTGAACTCCATATTCCAGCCTAAATTCAAAGCTCACTTTCGAAAATTCATTACAAACCTTGATAAATAAAAAAAAAATGTGAGAAAAGGCAAAGAAATGCAAGAGAACTTCGTGATATCGGGCTTGATTTAGTCACAAGGAAACCGGCTGTTTCCGGATTCATCCACCTCTCCCAGCTGACTGGCTTTGGAAACTAATTGAATTCACCTGAAAATCTCCATCAAACTGGGTTGGAGGGAATTAACTATCGGTCCACTGTAGAAAAGGGTTCCATTTCTTTTTCCAAAACACAAAAGCTCATCTTGTTCATGCTGCCTGGAGATTTCTAAGCATGACACGCCAATTGGTTGTGTTTTTTATTTCATAATGGATCCTCTGTCTAAACTCCTGTTTGTATTGCATTATAATACAAAATGTGGGAGGGAAGAAGGCAAAACCAACTCAGACCCAGAAACCATTTAGGAAATTCCGCTCAGGAAACCAAAAGTCAGCTGAAGCACCCAAAACAATGACAGAAAGCCTGATAGGGAGCAAGCCAACAGGTGTGCCCTGATTGGAAAAGCCCATTCCTTCCGTGTCTTGAACTCCATATTCCAGCCTAAAGTCAAAGCTCACTTTCGAAAATTCATTACAAACCATGATAAATATAAAAAAAGTGAAAAAAGCCAAAGAAATGCAAGAGAACTTTGTGATATTGGGCTTGATTTAGTCACAAGGAAACCGGCTGTTTCCGGATTCATCCACCCCTCCCAGCTGACTGGCTTTGGAAACTCATTGAATTCACCTGAAAATCTCTGCCATGCTGGATTGGAGGGGAATTAATTATTGGTCCCCTCTGCGAAAGGGTTCCATTTCTTTTTCCAAAGCACAAAAACTCATCCTGGTCGTGCTGCCTGGAGATTTCTAAGCATGACACGCCAATTGGTTGTGTTTTTATTTCATAATGGATCCTCTGTCTAAACTCTTGTGTGTATTGCTTCAGAATACAAAATTTGGGAGGGAAGAAGGCAAAACCAGCTCAGACCCAGAAACCATTTAGGAAATTGCCACTCAAGAAACCAAAAGTCGGCTGACGTACCCAAAACAATGACAGAAAGCCAGAATTGGAGCAAGCCAACAGCTGTGCCCTGATTGAAAAGGACCATTCCTTCCGTGTCTTGAACTCCAAATTCCAGCCTCAAAATCAAAGCTCACATCAGAAAATTCATTACAAACCATGATAAATAAGAAAAATGTGTAAAAAGCCCAAGAAATGCAAGAGTTCTTTGTGATATTGGCTTGATTTCAGTCACAAGGAAACCGGCTGTTTCCGGATTCATCCACCCCTCCCAGCTGACTGGCATTGGAAACTAATTGAATTCACCTGAAAATCTCCGTCATACTTGATTCGAGGGGAATTAATTATCGGTCCCCTCTGCAAAAGGGTTCCATTTATTTTCCAAAACACAAAAGCTCATCTTGGTCGTGCTGCCTGGAGATTTCTAAGCATGACACGCCAATTGGTTGTATTTTTTCTTTCATAATGGATCCTCTGTCTAAACTCTTGTGTGTATTGCGTCAGAATACAAAATTTGGGAGGGAAGAAGGCAAAACCAGCTCAGACCCAGAAACCATTTAGGAAATTGCCACTCAAGAAACCAAAAGTCGGCTGAAGCACCCAAAACAATGCCAGAAAGCCAAAATTGGAGCAAGCCAGCAGCAGTGCCCTCATTGAAAAGGACCATTCCTTCCGTGTCTTGAACTCCAAATTCCAGCCTCAAAATCAAAGCTCACATCAGAAAATTCAATACAAACCATGATAAATAAGAAAAATGTGTAAAAAGCCCAAGAAATGCAAGAGTCCTTTGTGATATTGGCCTTGATTTCAGTCACAAGGAAACGGCTGTTTCCGGATTCATCCACCCCTCCAGGCTGACCTGCTTGGAAACTAATTGAATTCACCTGAAAATCTCCGCAATACTTGATTCGAGGGGAATTAATTATCGGTCCCCTCTGCAAAAGGGTTCCATTTATTTTTCCAAAACACAAAAGCTCATCTTGGTCGTGCTGCCTGGAGATTTCTAAGCATGACACGCCAATTGGTTGTATTTTTTCTTTCATAATGGATCCTCTGTCTAAACTCTTGTGTGTATTGCGTCAGAATACAAAATTTGGGAGGGAAGAAGGCAAAACCAGCTCAGACCCAGAAACCATTTAGGAAATTGCCACTCAAGAAACCAAAAGTCGGCTGAAGCACCCAAAACAATGCCAGAAAGCCAAAATGGGAGCAAGCCAGCAGCAGTGCCCTCATTGAAAAGGACCATTCCTTCCGTGTCTTGAACTCCAAATTCCAGCCTCAAAATCAAAGCTCACATCAGAAAATTCAATACAAACCATGATAAATAAGAAAAATGTGTAAAAAGCCCAAGAAATGCAAGAGTCCTTTGTGATATTGGCCTTGATTTCGTCACAAGGAAACCGGCTGTTTCCGGATTCATCCACCCCTCCAGGCTGACCTGCTTTGGAACTAATTGAATTCACCTGAAAATCTCCGTCAATACTTGATTCGAGGGGAATTAATTATCGGTCCCCTCTGCAAAAGGGTTCCATTTCTTTTCCAAAACACAAAAGCTCATCTTGGTCGTGCTGCCTGGAGATTTCTAAGCATGACACGCCAATTGGTTGTGTTTTTTATTTCATAATGGATCCTCTGTCTAAACTCTTGTGTGTATTGCGTCAGAATACAAAATTTGGGAGGGAAGAAGGCAAAACCAGCTCAGACCCAGAAACCATTTAGGAAATTGCCACTCAAGAAACCAAAAGTCGGCTGAAGCACCGAAAAGAATGACAGAAATCCAGAATTGGAGCAAGCCAACAGCTGTGCCCTCATTGAAAAGGACCATTCCTTCCGTGTCTTGAACTCCATATTCCAGCCTCAAAGTCAAAGCTCACATCAGAAAATTCATTACAAACCTTGATAAATAAGAAAATTGTGAAAAAAGCCAAAGAATTGCTCGAGTCCTTTGTATATTGGGCCTGTTTTATTCTCTAGGAAACCGGCTGTTTCCGGATTCATCCACCCCTTCCAGCTGACTGGCTTTGGAAACTAATTGAATTCACCTGAAAATCTCCATCAAACTAGATTGCAGGGTATTAATTATCGGTCCCCTCTGCAAAAGGGTTCCATTTCTTTTTCCAAAACACAAAATCTCATCTTGGTCGTGCTGCCTGGAGATTTCTAAGCATGACACGCCAATTGGTTGTGTTGTTTATTTCATAATGGATCCTCTGTCTAAACTCTTGTTTGTATTGTGTCAGAATACAAAACTTGGGAGGGAAGAAGGCAAAACCAACTCAGACCCAGAAACCATTTAGGAAATTGCCGCTCCAGAAACCAAAAGTCGGCTGAAGCACCCAAAACAATGACTAAAGCCAGAATTGGAGCAAGCCAACAGCTGTGCCCTGATTGGAAAAGCCCATTCCTTCAGTGTCTTGAACTCCAAATTCCAGCCTCAAAATCAAAGCTCACATCAGAAAATTCAATACAAACCATGATAAATAAGAAAAATGTGTAAAAAGCCCAAGAAATGCAAGAGTTCTTTGTGATATTGGCCTTGATTTCATCACAAGGAAACTGGCTGTTTCCGGATTCATCCACCCCTCCCAGCTGACTGGCATTGGAAACTAATTGAATTCACCTGAAAATCTCCGTCATACTTGATTCGAGGGGAATTAATTATCGGTCCCCTCTGCAAAAGGGTTCCATTTATTTTTCCAAAACACAAAAGCTCATCTTGGTCGTGCTGCCTGGAGATTTCTAAGCATGACACGCCAATTGGTTGTATTTTTTATTTCATAATGGATCCTCTGTCTAAACTCTTGTGTGTATTGCGTCAGAATACAAAATTTGGGAGGGAAGAAGGCAAAACCAACTCAGACCCAGAAACCATTTAGGAAATTGCCACTCAAGAAACCAAAAGTCGGCTGAAGCACCCAAAACAATGACAGAAAGCCAGAATTGGAGCAAGCCAACAGCTGTGCCCTGATTGAAAAGGACCATTCCTTCCGTGTCTTGAACTCCATATTCCAGCCTCAAAGTCAAAGCTCACATCAGAAAATTCATTACAAACCATGATAAATAAGAAAAATGTGAAAAAAGCCCAAGAAATGCAAGAGTCCTTTGTGATATTGGCCTTGATTTAGTCACAAGGAAACCGGCTGTTTCCGGATTCATCCACCCCTCCCAGCTGACTGGCTTTGGAAACTAATTGAATTCACCTGAAAATCTCCGTCAAACTTGATTGGAGGGGAATTAATTATCGGTCCCCTCTGCAAAAGGGTTCCATTTCTTTTCCAAAACACAAAAGCTCATCTTGGTCGTGCTGCCTGGAGATTTCTAAGCATGACACGCCAATTGGTTGTGTTTTTTATTTCATAATGGATCCTCTGTCTAAACTCTTGTTTGTATTGCGTCAGAATACAAAATTTGGGAGGGAAGAAGGCAAAACCAGCTCAGACCCAGAAACCATTTAGGAAATTGCCACTCAAGAAACCAAAAGTCGGCTGAAGCACCCAAAACAATGACAGAAAGCCACAATTGGAGCAAGCCAGCAGCAGTGCCCTCATTGAAAAGGACCATTCCTTCCGTGTCTTGAACTCCAAATTCCAGCCGCAAAATCAAAGCTCACATCAGAAAATTCAATACAAACCATGATAAATAAGAAAAATGTGTAAAAAGCCCAAGAAATGCAAGAGTCCTTTGTGATATTGGCCTTGATTTCGTCACAAGGAAACCGGCTGTTTCCGGATTCATCCACCCCTCCAGGCTGACCTGCTTTGGAACTAGATGAATTCACCTGAAAATCTCCGAAAAACTTGATTCGAGGGGAATTAATTATCGGTCCCCTCTGCAAAAGGGTTCCATTTATTTTTCCAAAACACAAAAGCTCATCTTGGTCGTGCTGCCTGGAGATTTCTAAGCATGACACGCCAATTGGTTGTATTTTTTATTTCATAATGGATCCTCTGTCTAAACTCTTGTTTGTATTGCGTCAGAATACAAAATTTGGGAGGGAAGAAGGCAAAACCAGCTCAGACCCAGAAACCATTTAGGAAATTGCCACTCAAGAAACCAAAAGTCGGCTGAAGCACCCAAAACAATGACAGAAAGCCACAATTGGAGCAAGCCAGCAGCAGTGCCCTCATTGAAAAGGACCATTCCTTCCGTGTCTTGAACTCCAAATTCCAGCCTCAAAATCAAAGCTCACATCAGAAAATTCAATACAAACCATGATAAATAAGAAAAATGTGTAAAAAGCCCAAGAAATGCAAGAGTCCTTTGTGATATTGGCCTTGATTTCGTCACAAGGAAACCGGCTGTTTCCGGATTCATCCACCCCTCCAGGCTGACCTGCTTTGGAACTAGATGAATTCACCTGAAAATCTCCGAAAAACTTGATTCGAGGGGAATTAATTATCGGTCCCCTCTGCAAAAGGGTTCCATTTCCTTTTCCAAAACACAAAAGCTCATCTTGGTCGTGCTGCCTGGAGATTTCTAAGCATGACACGCCAATTGGTTGTGTTTTTTCTTTCATAATGGATCCTCTGTCTAAACTCTTGTGTGTATTGCGTCAGAATACAAAATTTGGGAGGGAAGAAGGCAAAACCAGCTCAGACCCAGAAACCATTTAGGAAATTGCCACTCAAGAAACCAAAAGTTGGCTGACGTACCCAAAACAATGACAGAAAGCCAGAATTGGAGCAAGCCAACAGCTGTGCCCTCGTTGAAAAGGACCATTCCTTCCGTGTCTTGAACTCCAAATTCCAGCCTCAAAATCAAAGCTCACATCAGAAAATTCAATACAAACCATGATAAATAAGAAAAATGTGTAAAAGCCCAAGAAATGCAAGAGTCCTTTGTGATATTGGCTTGATTTCAGTCACAAGGAAACCTGGCTGTTTCCGGATTCATCCACCCCTCCAGGCTGACTGCTTTGGAAACTAATTGAATTCACCTGAAAATCTCCGTCAAACTTGATTGGAGGGGAATTAATTATCGGTCCCCTCTGCAAAAGGGTTCCATTTCTTTTTCCAAAACACAAAAGCTCATCTTGGTCGTGCTGCCTGGAGATTTCTAAGCATGACACGCCAATTGGTTGTGTTTTTTATTTCATAATGGATCCTCTGTCTAAACTCTTGTGTGTATTGCGTCAGAATACAAAATTTGGGAGGGAAGAAGGCAAAACCAGCTCAGACCCAGAAACCATTTAGGAAATTGCCACTCAAGAAACCAAAAGTCGGCTGAAGCACCCAAAACAATGACAGAAAGCCCTAATTGGAGCAAGCCAACAGCTGTGCCCTCATTGAAAAGGACCATTCCTTCCGTGTCTTGAACTCCAAATTCCAGCCTCAAAATCAAAGCTCACATCAGAAAATTCAATACAAACCATGATAAATAAGAAAAATGTGTAAAAAGCCCAAGAAATGCAAGAGTCCTTTGTGATATTGGCCTTGATTTCGTCACAAGGAAACCGGCTGTTTCCGGATTCATCCACCCCTCCAGGCTGACCTGCTTTGGAACTAATTGAATTCACCTGAAAATCTCCGTCATACTTGATTCGAGGGGAATTAATTATCGGTCCCCTCTGCAAAAGGGTTCCATTTCTTTTTCCAAAACACAAAAACTCATCTTGGTCGTGCTGCCTGGAGATTTCTAAGCATGACACTCAATTGGTTGTGTTTTTTATTTCATAATGGATCCTCTGTCTAAACTCTTGTTTGTATTGCGTCAGAATACAAAATTTGGGAGGGAAGAAGGCAAAACCAACTCAGACCCAGAAACCATTTAGGAAATTGCCACTCAAGAAACCAAAAGTCGGCTGAAGCACCCAAAACAATGACAGAAAGCCAAAATTGGAGCAAGCCAGCAGCAGTGCCCTCATTGAAAAGGACCATTCCTTCCGTGTCTTGAACTCCAAATTCCAGCCTCAAAATCAAAGCTCACATCAGAAAATTCAATACAAACCATGATAAATAAGAAAAATGTGTAAAAAGCCCAAGAAATGCAAGAGTCCTTTGTGATATTGGCCTTGATTTCGTCACAAGGAAACCGGCTGTTTCCGGATTCATCCACCCCTCCAGGCTGACCTGCTTTGGAACTAATTGAATTCACCTGAAAATCTCCGTCATACTTGATTCGAGGGGAATTAATTATCGGTCCCCTCTGCAAAAGGGTTCCATTTCCTTTTCCAAAACACAAAAGCTCATCTTGGTCATGCTGCCTGGAGATTTCTAAGCAAGACACGCAATTGGTTGTGTTTTTTCTTTCATAATGGATCCTCTGTCTAAACTCTTGTTTGTATTGCGTCAGAATACAAAATTTGGGAGGGAAGAAGGCAAAACCAACTCAGACCCAGAAACCATTTAGGAAATTGCCACTCAAGAAACCAAAAGTCGGCTGAAGCACCCAAAACAAGGACAGAAATCCAGAATGGGAGCAAGCCAACAGCTGTGCCCTGCTTGAAAAGGACCATTCCTTCCGTGTCTTGAACTCCATAGTCCAGCCTCAAAGTCAAAGCTCACATCAGAAAATTCATGACAAACCATGGTAAATAAGAAAAACGTGAACAAAGCCAAAGAAATGCAAGAGTTCTTTGTGATATTGGGCTGGATTTAGTCACAAGGAAACCGGCTGTTTCCGGATTCATCCACCCCTCCCAGCTGACTGGCTTTGGAAACTAATTGAATTCACCTGAAAATCTCCATCAAACTTGATTGGAGGGGAATTCATTATCGGTCCCCTCTGCAAAAGGGTTCCATTGCTTTTTCCAAAACACAAAAGCTCATCTTGGTCGTGCTGCCTGGAGATTTCTAAGCATGACACGCCAATTGGTTGTGTTTTTTATTTCATAATGGATCCTCTGTCTAAACTCTTGTTTGTATTGCGTCAGAATACAAAATTTGGGAGGGAAGAAGGCAAAACCAACTCAGACCCAGAAACCATTTAGGAAATTGCCACTCAAGAAACCAAAAGTCGGCTGAAGCACCCAAAACAATGACAGAAAGCCATAATTGGAGCAAGCCAACAGCATGTGCCCTCATTGAAAAGGACCATTCCTTCCGTGTCTTGAACTCCAAATTCCAGCCTCAAAATCAAAGCTCACATCAGAAAATTCAATACAAACCATGATAAATAAGAAAAATGTGTAAAAAGCCCAAGAAATGCAAGAGTCCTTTGTGATATTGGCCTTGATTTCGTCACAAGGAAACCGGCTGTTTCCGGATTCATCCACCCCTCCAGGCTGACCTGCTTTGGAACTAATTGAATTCACCTGAAAATCTCCGTCATACTTGATTCGAGGGGAATTAATTATCGGTCCCCTCTGCAAAAGGGTTCCATTTCCTTTTCCAAAACACAAAAGCTCATCTTGGTCATGCTGCCTGGAGATTTCTAAGCAAGACACGCAATTGGTTGTGTTTTTTCTTTCATAATGGATCCTCTGTCTAAACTCTTGTGTGTATTGCTTCAGAATACAAAATTTGGGAGGGAAGAAGGCAAAACCAGCTCAGACCCAGAAACCATTTAGGAAATTGCCACTCAAGAAACCAAAAGTCGGCTGAAGCACCCAAAACAAGGACAGAAATCCAGAATGGGAGCAAGCCAACAGCTGTGCCCTGCTTGAAAAGGACCATTCCTTCCGTGTCTTGAACTCCATAGTCCAGCCTCAAAGTCAAAGCTCACATCAGAAAATTCATGACAAACCATGGTAAATAAGAAAAACGTGAACAAAGCCAAAGAAATGCAAGAGTTCTTTGTGATATTGGGCTGGATTTAGTCACAAGGAAACCGGCTGTTTCCGGATTCATCCACCCCTCCCAGCTGACTGGCTTTGGAGACTAATTGAATTCACCTGAAAATCTCCATCAAACTTGATTGGAGGAAAATTCATTATCAGTCCCCTCTGCAAAAGGGTTCCCTTTCTTTTTCCAAAACACAAAAACTCATCTTGGTCGTGCTGCCTGGAGATTTCTAAGCATGACACGCCAATTGGTTGTATTTTTTATTTCATAATGGATCCTCTGTCTAAACTCTTGTGTGTATTGCGATAGAATACAAAATTTGGGAGGGAAGAGGGCAAAACCAACTCAGACCCAGAAACCGTTTAGGAAATTTCAGCTCAAGAAACCAAAAGGCGGCTGAAGCACCCAAAACAATGACGGAAAGCCTAAATTGGAGCAAGCCAGCAGCATGTGCCCTCATTGAAAAGGACCATTCCTTCCGTGTCTTGAACTCCAAATTCCAGCCTCAAAATCAAAGCTCACATCAGAAAATTCAATACAAACCATGATAAATAAGAAAAATGTGTAAAAAGCCCAAGAAATGCAAGAGTCCTTTGTGATATTGGCCTTGATTTCGTCACAAGGAAACCGGCTGTTTCCGGATTCATCCACCCCTCCCAGCTGACTGCCTTGGAAACTAATTGAATTCACCTGAAAATCTCCGTCAAACGTGATTTGAGGAAAATTAATTATCGGTCCCCTCTGCAAAAGGGTTCCATTTCTTTTCCAAAACACAAAAACTCATCTTGGTCGTGCTGCCTGGAGATTTCTAAGCATGACACGCCAATTGGTTGTGTTTTTTATTTCATAATGGATCCTCTGTCTAAACTCTTGTGTGTATTGCGTCAGAATACAAAATTTGGGAGGGAAGAAGGCAAAACCAGCTCAGACCCAGAAACCATTTAGGAAATTGCCACTCAAGAAACCAAAAGTCGGCTGAAGCACCCAAAACAATGACAGAAAGCCAGAATTGGAGCAAGCCAACAGCTGTGCCCTGATTGGAAAAGCCCATTCCTTCAGTGTCTTGAACTCCATATTCCAGCCTCAAAGTCCAAGCTCACATCAGAAAATTCATGGCAAACCATGATAAATAAGGAAAATGTGAAAAAAGCCAAAGAAATGCAAGAGTCCTTTGTAATATTGGGCTTGATTTAGTCACAGGGAAACCTGCTGTTTCCAGATTCATCCCCCCCTCCCAGCTGACTGGCTTTGGAAACTGATTGAATTCACCTGAAAATCTCCATCAAACTGGATTTGAGGAGAATTAATTATCGGTCCCCTATGCAAAAGGGTTCCATTTCTTTTTCCAAAACACAAAAGCTCATCTTGGTCGTGCTGCCTGGAGATTTCTAAGCATGACACGCCAATTGGTTGTGTTTTTTCTTTCATAATGGATCCTCTGTCTAAACTCTTGTGTGTATTGCGTCAGAATACAAAATTTGGGAGGGAAGAAGGCAAAACCAGCTCAGACCCAGAAACCATTTAGGAAATTGCCACTCAAGAAACCAAAAGTCGGCTGAAGCACCCAAAACAATGACAGAAAGCCAAATTGGAGCAAGCCAACAGCTGTGCCCTCATTGAAAAGGACCATTCCTTCCGTGTCTTGAACTCCAAATTCCAGCCTCAAAATCAAAGCTCACATCAGAAAATTCATTACAAACCATGATAAATAAGAAAAATGTGTAAAAAGCCCAAGAAATGCAAGAGTCCTTTGTGATATTGGCCTTGATTTCATCACAAGGAAACCGGCTGTTTCCGGATTCATCCACCCCTCCAGCTGACCTGCTTTGGAAACTAATTGAATTCACCTGAAAATCTCCGTCAAACTTGATTGGAGGGGAATTAATTATCGGTCCCCTCTGCAAAAGGGTTCCATTTCTTTTTCCAAAACACAAAAGCTCATCTTGGTCGTGCTGCCTGGAGATTTCTAAGCATGACACGCCAATTGGTTGTGTTTTTTATTTCATAATGGATCCTCTGTCTAAACTCTTGTTTGTATTGCGTCAGAATACAAAATTTGGGAGGGAAGAAGGCAAAACCAACTCAGACCCAGAAACCATTTAGGAAATTGCCACTCAAGAAACCAAAAGTCGGCTGAAGCACCCAAAACAATGACAGAAAGCCAGAATTGGAGCAAGCCAACAGCTGTGCCCTGATTGGAAAAGCCCATTCCTTCCGTGTCTTGAACTCCATATTCCAGCCTCAAAGTCCAAGCTCACATCAGAAAATTCATGGCAAACCATGATAAATAAGGAAAATGTGAAAAAAGCCAAAGAAATGCAAGAGTCCTTTGTAATATTGGGCTTGATTTAGTCACAGGGAAACCTGCTGTTTCCAGATTCATCCCCCCCTCCCAGCTGACTGGCTTTGGAAACTGATTGAATTCACCTGAAAATCTCCATCAAACTGGATTTGAGGAGAATTAATTATCGGTCCCCTATGCAAAAGGGTTCCATTTCTTTTTCCAAAACACAAAAGCTCATCTTGGTCGTGCTGCCTGGAGATTTCTAAGCATGACATGCCAATTGGTTGTGTTTTTTTTT